TTGAAGTATAGCTTCCTCGTGAGCACAATTAAGTATCCTGTGATTCCCATTCTTCACCATGTTAAACATAATTTTTTATAATCTACAGAGCTGACTGCCTTTGCATCACCAATGGAACACAAGTAAACCTCTTTCTGGTATTCTCTGCTTTCAGCCGAGATCCATCTGATATCAGCAATGGCATCCCTTGTTCAGAGTTCTCTCCTAAATCCAACTTGGATTTCTGACAGTCCCTTTGTCAATTCAATGGACTGCTGCCACCACTTTTAAATGGTCGTCGGCATAACCTTCCTTGCATGTGACATTGATGGTATTTGATCAGTTCTGCATTCTGTTGCATCACCTTGGCATAGACGAGTGAGTGCTTCCAGCCTCGCATCCAACTATTGAACCATTTCCCTTGGTCTCCCATCAGTCTCTGGAAAGCTGGGCTTTCTTCCTTCAACACCATTCATTGTTGATCACATGCTAGAACACTGACCAGTTCCTTTTGGCACAGTGAGTCTGTGTATTCCTGCTGTCTTCTTTTTATGCTTCATGCACCGTTCAATATTTTGCCCATTTAAACATAAAAAGGAGAATAGAAAAACTCACTGCCAGCCAGTCATTTTCAACCCTGTGAATCTCTGAGACTGTCTTTCCTTGTAGGAGTAGACAGCCTCCTCTCTCTCCCGAGGAGCAGATGGTGGTTTTGAACTCCAGACTTTGAAGTTAGCAGCCCAACGTGCAACCAAGACACAACCAGGGCTCCATTATTTTTGCCCAAGAATCCTTCAATATTGCAAACCGAGGCTGGACTTTTTTCTTCAGTTCTTTCATTAAGAACTAATGAGCAGGGAATTTATAGAGGTCTAAATAAAGGCATGTACATATGTAAATATATTTATATATGAGGATGGGGAAATAGATCTCTGTGCATATATGTATAGATTGAGTATTAAGGTAGCAGATAGACGTTGGGTCTCCACTTAAGTACTCCCTCAATGCAAGAATACTTGGTTCTATTAAACTGGCATTCCATGATGCTCACCTTCCCGACGCAATCGCTGAAGACAAAGTGGGTGCATAAGCAAATGTGGTGAAGAAAGCTGATGGTGCCCGGCTATCAAAAGATATAGCATTTGGGGTCTTAAAGGCTTGAAGGTAAATAAGTGGCCATCTAGCTCAGAAGCAACAATGCCCACATGGAAGCACACCAGCCTGTGCTATCACAAGGTGTCGAAGGGATCACGTATCAGGCATCATCAGAACAAAAAATCATATCATTGTGAATGAGGGGGAGTGTGGAATGGAGACCCAAGCCCATCTGTAAGCAATTGGCCATCCCCTTATGGAAGTGTTGCCGGGAGGAGATGAGCCAGTCAGGGTGCAATGTAGCAACGATGAAACATACAACTTTCCTCTAGTTCCTAAATGCTTCCTTCCCCCCTCCCCCCACTACCATGATCCCAATTCTACCTTACAAATCTGGCTAGACCAGAGGATGTACACTGGTACAGATAGGAACTGGAAACACAGGGAATCCAGGGCAGATGATCCCTTCAGGACCAGTGGTGAGAGTGGCGATACCTGGAGGGTGGAGGAAGGGTGGGGTGGAAAGGGGAAACTGATTACAAGGATCTACATATAACCTCCTTCCTGAAGGACAGACAACAGAAAAGTGGGTGAAGGGAGTCGTTGGGCCATGCAAGATATGACAAAATAATAATTTATAAATTATCAAGGGCTCATGAGGGAGGGGGGAGCGGGGAGGGAGGGGAAAAATGAGGACCTAATGCCGGGGGCTTAAGTGGAGAAGAAATGTTTTGAGAATGATGAGGGCAATGAATGTACAAATGCGCTTTACACAATTGATGTATGTGTGGATTGTGATGAGTTGTATGAGCCCCTAATAAAATGATTTTTTTTTTAAAAAGAACTAATGAGCATATTCTTCCAGGTCTTTGCACATTTCGTTGTTTCAGTATATTTATTATTATTATTTCATTATGAGTATATTGCATTTCAGCCCTATTTCTAGAAAATAAGATACTGCTTTCTTCTCCCACTGACATGGGTCCATACATTAATTAAGGCCGAGAATTCATGTTCTGGGCCTCCTCTCTTCATAAGCTATGATCATCCGAGGCCCCATTCCTCTCCTTCCACACCCCTGCCTTTTCTCTAATGCACCCCACCTGCCCTGTCAGCATTTCCAGCCTTTCCTAACCCCCATGACAGAACAGTTCCCGAGAGACCCTTGGCTGGTGAGGGATTAAAGTACATCCCTCCCTTCTTCCACTCTTCCTCTTCCTATGTTGGAATACTCTCTGGCATTCCAAGGGCTACTGAGGTCTTCTCTCTTTCTCAGACTTTGAAAGCCACCTCCAAGCCTCAAACTCCACGTGAGATGAATGGAATGGAATGGGGGTTGGGGCACAGTGGACGTTAGCTTAAAGTCAAGTATTACACACCACTGAGCGAGGTCATCGCCATTGGGGTGGTCTTTCCAGCCCCATCACAGGCTTTACAGGCCCGCAAAGCTGACCACCATCGCGCCATTTATAACATGAAATAAAGCCATCCCAATCCATAAAATGAGAATAAGCAAGTTCATGAAAGTGCTACTTTTTCTCAGTGACTAAAAAACAAACCCCATTGCCATTGAATGGATTCCGACTCATAGTGGCCCACAGGACAAAGGAGAGCCTCCCCCTGGAGTGTCCAGTCTTTGACAGGGAACAGTTTCCAGTGAACAGACGTCACATCTTTCTGACACAGGCCAGCGAGTGGGTCCAAACTGCCGCAGTCGTGTGCTTGACCACTGTGCCAGCTTGCTCTTTTATAACGATGACACTGATACAGAGTCGAGGTATCAGGAAAACGTGTGTGTGTGTGTGTGTGTGTGTGTGTGTGTGTAGCATTATGGAAACTCCCATTGAATCCCTCCCTGGGCCCGGCTGGGAAATACCACTGTTGGAGGGATCATTCGGCAGAGACAGGAAAAGTGGGCAGGAAAGAGTCTAACTGAATGGGGGAGAAAGGGAGGAAGGAGACGAAGTCTCCACCTCTTCCCATTGACCCAGAGTCCAAGGCCCCCTTCCACTCCGCTCTCCATCCTGGTCCCTCTGTTTCCCACAAGACTCTTGAAAACGTTGAAGATGGAGGAGCTGGAATGTCTGACATCCATGGCGCCCCTACTGCCTGTCTAGGCATGGCCCCCACCCACTCCCTGTAAGCCTTGGCACAGATCTTTTGTTCTTTCTGTGGTAACATTTTGCCATTTTTACTCCTTTCAATGTGCACTTCAGTAACATTAATCCATTCACCATATTGTGCAACCCCCAAGACTAGTCACTCCCAATAGTTTCCATCCCTCAAACAGGAACTGGGCACTGCTGAAACGTTCACTCCTCCAGCCCCCTCCTTCCAGCCCTGGTAACTGCTAACCAGTGGTCTCGAGGCTCTTGCCTATTCTAGGTGATTCATATAAGCGAGAGCACACAATAGTTGTCCTTCTGTGGCTGACATATTTCACGCAAAATCGTGTTTTCAAAGTTCATTCAAATTGTAACATGCATCCCGAGTTCATTTCTCTTTATGCCTGAGTAGAAGTCCCCTGTATACAGTCTCTGTACCGCATCTTGTGTATCCATTCATTCATCTGTGGGTAGACACTAGGGTTCTCTCCGTCTGTGGCCCAGCGTGAGCAGGGCTGCTATGAACACCAGTGTACAAGTATCTGTTTGAGTGCCCACTTTGAGGTCTTTGGGGACTATGCTTAGGAGTGGAACTGCAGGATGGGGCTGGTCTCTTTTGCGTAGCTTCTTCTCAGGCTGGGCCAGGCCAGGGGCCTGCACTTCTGGTTTTCCCAGCCCAATTCTCCCGTAAAAGCCAAGAAAAGATGGGAAGCCCTTTGCCTCTGCTCAGGGCAGGCAGCTTGGACTGAAAAAATCATTAAAGCCTTTGAATAAGCAACTAACTGGAGAGATGAGCCCTTTGGGGCTGGAACTCCCCTCCTCCCAGCAGGGAGTTGGACCTCGAAAGGCTGAGTGGGTGGGCAGAGATGCTCAGTCGGTTTGGGGCCTCTTCCCTCCTACCCTAAAGGCAGACAAATCAATAAACAGAACTGGGAGGGAGCTGGGCTCAACCAGCTTCCTGCCGAAACTGTAGACAGGCTTGAGGAAGCAAGGATCTGATGGGGGCCACTAAGTTGGGGGCTTGGGGGAGCTAAGGGGGGGTCACCTTCCAGCGAAGCCCTCGGCTCAAAGGAGAAAGTATGGAGACTCAAAGAAGGGCAGCTCCTCCCACCTGTCCCCAGACTTGCAGGCCTTTCAGTGCCATCTGCAGCCAGAGCCCTACTCCGTTCAGACCATGATCTTCCCACCTCTGTGCCCCAGCGCCCTGGAGAAGGACACCGCGCTTGGGAAAGTGGAGGGGCAGTGAAAAAGAAGGCCCTCCCCGAGATGGACTGGCACCGTGGTGGCTACAGCAATGGGCTCAGGTGTAGGAACAATTGCGAGGACGGTGCAGAGCCAGGCAGGGCCAGCCAGTGTTTCCTTTTGCTGTGCATAAGGCCGCTATGGGCCGGAACCAGCTTGAATGCACCTCACAACTGCATCCTCCAGAGACCTGCCTTCTCTGCTACCTTCTGAGGGAGGGCTGAGGGGCTGTGCAAGGGCAGAGCTTGGGGGGGGGCATAAAGGGGTCCCTGTGGGGTCTTCACTGTGGTTCCCAGGTGGAAAGGGAGCATCACAATTTCACTCCCTACTCAGCTCAGATCTAGGCTAGGGGAAACTGAGGCAGGTGACCTGCCTGCCGTGGGGATGGTGGGCTGAGCAGCCTGCCTAGACTGCTCTGTGGCTCCTCCCTGCCATCTCCTGGAGCAGATGGGGCACCTCTTACACTGAGCCCAACTCCAGGGGGAGCGGCTTACCTGGCCGGCAGGGTGGCTCTAGGGAAGAACCTGGCTCCTTGTATAACGGCACCTTCTCCGGCCTGTGCTCTCCCCGTCCCTGCAGGCTCTTGAGCAACAACAAGATCACAGGGCTCCGCAATGGATCCTTCCTGGGACTCTGGCAGCTGGAGAAGTTGTAAGTACTCGGGCAGGTGGGGAGATGGCGTCCTGGGTAAAGGTCAATCTGGGATGAAGAGGAGCCCTGGTGGCTGAGGGATCTTGCACCGACATCCAGACCAGCCCTTCACCAGCTGAGTTGAGCGAAGTAGGGTTTAGGCAGGGAAGGGGCTAATGGCAGCTCATTAACTCGCTTTAATGAGCAATTAGCTGTCCTGGAGCTGCCTTCTCCTTCCAGCTGGGGGCCCACATGAAAGGGAACTGCGTGAGCCGGAGGGAGGGAGGTGTCCTAACTGCGAAAGAGGACAAGCAAAGCCTCCTGGGGCAGAGCTCTGGCCTGCAGGTAGGGAAAGCCACCAAGTCCACGTCTCCCCACCAGGTCGCCCCGGGGCTCAGCACAGACTGGCTTTGGACTTAGGAGTGCTAGCGCCTGGCCAGCCTGCAAGTGTCTCCTCCTTGGGAGCCCCCAGGTCTGGTTGAGGCCAGTGTGTGGTGGGCAAGGGAGGAGAAACTCACTCGTGGTGGTATTGGGAAGTGAAGGGGACACAGAACCCCCAGCCACCCAGCTTCCCCCCAGAGTGCTCTGTGCACAGGTGGCTGGGTCAGGGTGGACAGGCCCTGGGCAAGGCAACCCCTAAGCTCTGGCTCCAATCGCATCTTCTAGGACCAGCTTCCAGGCTCTGTCCCCTCCACAGAGGCCTGGGCTTCCTATCTCGTAGGAGTCTGATGCTTGCTTTCTCCCCAGGCCCTACCCCTCTCCCGTCTCTACTCACTTCCTGATGAGCAATCCCAGCGCCCCCAATTCCCATCCACTGCCCACCCCTCTGCCCCCAGGGCCATTTTGCCCAAAAAACTAACTTCAATAATGCGATGGGGATGCACTTGACTAAGGTGTGAAACCCGCTCTCAAGGAACCAGAAGTTCACGGCCAGTAGAGACCAGCAAGGAGGTCCTGTCACAGACAATGCCGTGACTGCGTTACTGCGAAGTCGGCTGGGAAGTTTCCAGATTGGCGTGTTCGAGGAATAGGGAAGCATTATGCATATTCCATGATCTTTGATCTTCTCAACCATCTCATGAGGTGACCTGTGTTATACCCGTAGAGCAGTGCAGAGAAAATCTTCTTGCCCAGACCTCTGGGATGGTGATGGGGAGCTTGGTGGCCTCACTGGCTTAGTCTGGGGAGGGCAAGGGACAAGAGGGGGGGCAGAGGAGCAGGTCTGTCTCTGGAGCGTGGCAGCCCTGGGCTCTGGGCCTGCTGGACACGCACACTGTGACCAGCTTCCTCTCACCGGCTACTCGGAAGCTGGTCCTCAACGAAGACAAGGACCACCTCCCAGCTGCTATTTAGAAGTCCATCGGATGCCAAGAAATAGGGAAGCATTTGTTTTGTTTGGCTTTGTGTGTGTGGTGAAAATAGACACCAGGCCATAATGCAGCCGTTTCTACATGCATCATGTCGAAACGCTGATTCTCTTCTTTCAGCTTTACAACATCCTCGCTATGTTTTGCCAAATTATTCTACCACCATAAACTCGAAGAAGTAGGGAGGCCGTTTTCTCCTACCACGAGTAAGGCAGCACTCGGGGCTCGATCCCAGGCTTGGTGGGGTGCGGAGCCGCAGGAAAGCGGGCGCTCCTTCCTTCCAGGGCTGCTGTGAAGGAAGACAAGCCACAGCTGCCTTTCCTGGCCCCTGAGGCCCAGTCACCGCCCAGTTGCTCGCCCTTCTTTCATGTGGGCTGCGGCGAGTCCCTGCGGGCCTCACCAACACCTTCTCATCGGCACCCACTTGCTGCCATCTGTCAAAGGCCTACTGGCTCTGCCCTCTCGCGTCCTTCTTCAGCCACAAGACAGTCAGCTTTCGGACCCTCGCAAATATCCCAAAGCGGCTCCTCTCCCCACCATCACCCCACAGCAGATACATACAAAGCACAGAAAGTGACAGCCACCCCCAGACCCACAGCGCTCCTGGAATCCAACCCACTGTGACCCCGTAGGACAGAGCCTAACTGCTCACTGGGCTTTCTGAGACTGTGAGCCTTCACAGACGCCAACTGCCACTTTTCCCATCAAACGGCTGGTGGGGTCGAAAGCCGAGTGCTCTCACCACTGCGGTGCATTCCCACAACTCCTCAGACAAAGCTGGGAGAACAGTCAGAGTAATGGGAAACGGGAATTGCTGGGCCATGCCAACAGGGATTTGAGTTCACCCAGAGATGCCTTGGAAGAAAGCTTGGGGACCGACTTCCTCAAACACAGTCCTTCCAACCCCACAGAACTGGAAGGTGTCCCACGCAGACAAAATGAATGAGAACGATGGTGTGCAGTGAAGGACATGGTGACAGCTTGGGACGACCTGGGGAGACCCTGTTGAGTGGGATGGAATTTGCCGTGTAAAATTCCAGGGCCAGGTGCCCAGGTCTGGGGCCTCCGTCTGCCCATCTGTGAAAGAGGAAGGTGAAGTGGAGGATTTGTGAGGTGCCTTCAGGTTTAACATTCCAGGGCCCTTGATATGTGCCTTGTGAGAGAGTGAACCAAGAACCAGAAAGATGGGGAGCCCTGTGGGGCAGAAGCATGGGCTGTGCTCATCAGAGATGGCACCTGTGCATGGTGGGACTGGAGGAGCACAGGGTGTCCCGTGCAGCTGCTCACCACTCTCCCAGCGGGAGGGCTCTGAAGTCCTGTCGGTCCTGGGTCACCCCGGAATTTTTTTATACAAGGTATGCAGGCAGTTCTCAGGCTCATCAGGGTTGGGAACCAGTAGACCAGATGACCCCTAGACTGTGGGTCTATTCATCCCAAATAAGACGCCCGTGGCCTGGCATGTAGTTGGTGCTCAGGAAACACTGATCTCTCTGTCTCCTCAGAATCCGATGTCTAGACTTGGGCAGCTGAGGCCATGGCAACTTAACATCCCACGATCCACAAGCAGCAAATCCCGTGGGAGGGTCGGGGCCTAGCCTATTAAGGGCAATGATAGGTCTGTGTGTGTGTGTGTGTGTGTGTGTGTGGTGTGGTGTGGTGTGGTGTGGTGTGGTGTGGTGTGGTGTGTGTTTGTGGGTGGGGGGAACGCCAGGAGAAAGCCTGCATTGCTTCCCTTGGCCTCTCCAAATTGGTAGAGTGCAATTGTGTCTACGGAGGGGTGGACTTACTGACCCAGGGTGGGAAGTGGGTCTGCAGGGTCCTCCTCACTGTGCAGTATGGGAGTCCTGAGGGCTCAGGAGGGTAAGCAAACTGGTGGACATGCACTTCTACTAGGGCATGGGAGTGGAGGGGGGCTCGGAGTGGATGCCAAGTGGGCAGTGCCTGAGCTGTGCTCCTGAAGGCCTGGAGCAGGCGCACACTTGGTGATGCTCGGTCAGCCTAACAGGGAGGGGCCTGGAAAATCTGATCTAGTTCACAGCAAGGCCCAGACAAGGTGGCACCATGTCTCAGAGTGCCCCCACCCCCCCACCATCCCCCATGTAGCCCATCGCCCTAGGCATGGCCCAGCCTGCTTCTGCTCAGAAGAAAGACCCCCCTTAGGACAGGGCTGGGGGAAAGAGCCCAGGATCCAGAGTCCAAAGAGGCCTGGCTTTGAATCCTGACTGTGCCCCCTTGGCCTGGGTGCCTCACCAAGCCTCAGGTATCTCACCTGAAAGGGGGATTCAGGCCCTTCTGAGACTGAATGAGCTCATGTAGGCAGAGCGAGGGGGGTAGCAGAGGCTTTCAGCAAAGGGCAATCATCCCTGGCTGCCCCTTATTGGCAAGGAGATGCCTCAAGTGCTGAAAATGCTCCGAGGCCTCATTCTTCTGGGCCCTGTAGGCCTGCTCACATCTCTGTCCACCGCCGACACTGCGCACATAGAGTGGGACTTCTGCAGGGCTCCAAACACCCCACCCCCCACCCGGACCCCGCCAGAAAGGGGCGGAGAACAGGGTGGGCAGAGAGCGCCTGGCTCAGCATACAGGGGGGCTCAGCATGCAGGGGAGCGTGTGGATCTGCTGCGTGGAGGCAGGCGCACCACCACCCCAAGAGGCCTGTGGGACAGCCGAGGCAAAGGCCAGGGGATGGGAGCCTGGTCAGCCCCAGGATGATTTGTCATTGCCTAATGAGATTAATGAGCCCCAGGGGCTGGTATGCAGCGGGTACTGGGCACTCATTAGAAGCAGATGCCCTTGGGAATGATGGTAAAGTGGGGCCTAGGGGTGGAGTGCGGCACTAGGGCCAGGTGGTTTCCATTAATCTGGAGGCGGGGCCCCTGGGCTGCGTCCCTCCCCTCCTCCCATCTCCTCCAACACTCAGGAGGAATGTGGCAGAGAAGCCACATTTACAGTTACAGGGAGCCTCCCGCAGCTGAGGGCCCAGGAGGGGAGGCTGATAGAACCAGCGTGGCCCGTGTCAGTCAGGTACAGTGTAGGCGCTCAGTAAATACCTGGTGGATACCATCCGAGAGCAAGGGGAGGCTTTCTACTCCCGTGAGGAGTTGCCCTGTCCCCTGAGTTGGCATGGGCCGTGGTGGCAGCCGGCTTGAGCTTGGATGATGTCTGAGACAAGAGGCTATGTAGGGTGGAAAGGGAGGCTAGGACTACCTTGGGTTTTCCCCTTGCCACCAGAACCTCTCTCTCCCTCATCCCCCAATATTTCTCTACCTGCAGTGGGTGGTGTTCTGGCCCAGTTCTCAGTCAGCCCCCACTTTCTAGTGAACCCTGGAAGGTTCTGGAGGGCCTAGGGAAAGCAGTTCTGTGGCTTGAGAACCTATCATTTGGTTTTGAAACCCACAAGCAGGGAGGTCTGTGGGGGCCAGAGACAGCCAACTTTGTGTCACCCCACCCTATCAGAACATAGTCACACTCGCACAGAGACAAACTCTCTCTCTCTCTCTCTCACACACACACACACACACACACACACACACACACA